TGAGTATTACGCAGCACTTTTTCTTCTTTTCAAATTACGGTTCGCCCCAATTATGTTTCTAGGTTTGTCAGCACCATACCCTTGCTCCTGGGTTTCACAGAAGTGGTAAACGTCTGAGACCTGTATCACTTTGGGCTTTCCTCCCACACTAAGCTGAAACGCCGCGATATAACTGGAATACTGTTAAAAGCGGCGTTAAACCCAACTCACTCACTCACTCATTCTTTATGTAAAAATGTTCACCGATGTTATACTTACGACAGTGCTTCTGTGTCGTCAGTAAAACCCACCAGGATCCTATAGAAGCATGGCGACCAGACCCAGTGTGAGATGCGGAAACTCATCGTGCAATGAACTGCTTGTTGCGGGTTTAGATGCGTGTGCTCCCCCATCGTGACCGCTCTGTCGGCATTATGCCCAGGAATCAGAATTTCATGAAGCTAAGAAAGCACCCCGTTGGGTGTCCTCTAGTCTGTCTACCAGACGCTAGAGAATCAATTGAAAAGAAGTGCAAATCAAATCTAGATTGATTTGGCAAGTTTAGCATGCCCCAGCTCTCACAAAATAGGCATTGTTCTTGGCTACATTTGGAGTATATTTGGTAGATAAATACTTTTAGATAAGATAACTTTATTTCCTGGACTAAATGTTTGTCTAGGTTTCCTCACTAAACACAGCTGTGGAATCTGACAATCACGGGGCGTGTGTTTGAAACCATGTCGTAAGACCAACCGCATGTCACGAGTGGACCGAAAAGAATACTGACGACAGCAGCTATCTATCCAATCAGACTATCATAGACTATTATATAAATAATGAACACCTAGCGGGATTAGAACACAGGAAATTGGTCGTTTGTCGTGTTTTCGTCTTTTACCATGAGAATTACGCAGCACTTTTTCTTCTTTTCAAACTACGGTTCGCCCCGATTATGTTTCTAGGTTTGTCAGCACCATATCAAATCAAATCGAGATTGATTTGGTAAGTCTAGAATGCCCCAGCTCTCGTAAAATAAGCATTGTTCTGGGCTACATTTGGAGTATATTTGGTAGATAAATACTTTTAGATAAGATAACTATATTCCCTGGACTAAATGTTTGTCTAGGTTTCCTCCTAAACACAGCTGTGGAATCTGACAATCACGGGGCAGGTGTTTAAAACTATGTCTTTCGTCCAACCGGATGTCACGGGTGGACCGAAAAGAGTACTGACGACAGCAGCTATCTATCCAATCAACTTATTATCAGTCTCAAATTCACAGATGTGTATTATCGACTTTACTATGCGGATCACACGGGAATAGAGTGTCGTGTTGGTGCATATTCTAACTGTGGTTGAGCCAAGAGGCAACCCTGTCTAACGCCACAGAACACACGACCCTTACAGTCGCCTACACGCCACCTTCACACCTATGCGCAGCCCTACACAACATATAAACGCAGCCCTATATTACACATAAACGCAGCCCTACACTACATATAAACGCAGCCCTACACTAAATACAAACGCAGCCCTACACTAAATACAAACGCAGCCCTACACTAAATACAAACGCAGCCCTACACTAAATACAAACGCAGCCCTACAAACATATAAACGCAGCCCTACATTACATAGAAACGCCGCCCTACACTAAAATACAAACGCATCTCTACACTAAATACAAACGCATCTCTACACTAAATACAAACGCAGCCCCACAAACATATAAACGCAGCCCTACACAACATATAAACGCACTCCTACACTATATACAAACGCAGCCCTACACAACATATAAACGCAGCCCTACACTACATATAAACACAGTCCTACACTAAATACAAACGTAGCCCTACACTAAATGCAAACGCAGCCCTTACCGTCGCCTACACGCCAACTACACACCTATACGCAGCCCTACACTGCATATAACGCAGCCCTACACTACATATAAACGCAGCCCTACAGTAAATACAAACGCAGCCCTACACTACATATAAACGCAGCTCTACACTCAATGCAAACGCAGCCCTACACTGAATACAAACGCAGCCCTACACAACATATAAACGCAGCCCTACACTGCATATATACGCACTCCTACACTACATATAAACGCAGCCCTACACAACATATAAACGCAGCCCTACACTAAATACAAACGCAGCCCTACAAACATATAAACGCAGCCCTACACTACATATAAACGCAGCCCTACACTACATACAAACCCACCCCTACACTATATATAAACGCAGCCCTACACTAAATACAAACGCAGCCATACACAACAGCTCGACTCACCACGCACATGTCGCTCTTCTCGCCATATATATGACTCTCTACAAGCCACGCCCATGTCGCTCTTCTCGCCATATATAGGACTCTACACGCCACGCACATGTCGCCCTACTCGCCATATATATGACGCTCTACCTGACAGGCATATGACGCTCTACACGCCACGTACATGCCGTTCTACACGTTATTTATATGACACTCTACACGCCACGCACGTGGCGCTGTACTCGCCATATATATGACGCTCTACACGCCACGTACATGCCGCTCTACACGACACGTACATGCCACTCTAATTGCCACGCACTTGCCGTTCTACTCGCCATATATATGACGCTCTACTCACCAGGCACATGTCGCTCTACACGACATATATATGCCGCTCTAAACGCCATATATTTAACGCTCTACACGCCACGCACATGTCGCTCTACTCGCCATATATATATGACGCTCTACACGCCACGCACATGTCTCTCTTCTCGTCATATAAATGACGCTCTACATGCCTCGCACCTACCGCTCTACTCGCCACGCACATGCCGCTCTACATGCTATATATATGACGCTCTACATGCCACGCACATGCCGCTCTACATGGTATATATATGACGCTCTACACGCCACGCACATGCCGCTCGACGTGCTATATATATGACGCTCTACATGCTACGCAAATGCCGCTCTACATGCTATATATATGACGCTCTACATGCCACGCACATGCCGCTCTACATGCTATATATATGACGCTCTACATGCCGCTCTGCGTGCTATATATATGCCGCTCTACATGCCACGCACATGCCGCTCTACATGCTATATATATGACGCTCTACACGCCACGCACATGCCGCTCGACGTGCTATATATATGACGCTCTACATGCCACGCACATGCCGCTCTACATGCTATATATATGACGCTCTACACGCCACGCACATGCCGCTCTACATGCTATATATATGACGCTCTACATGCCACGCACATGCCGCTCTTCTCGCCACGCACATGCCGCTCTACTCGCCATATATATGACGCTCTACACGCCACGCACATGTCGTTCTCCGCAAAATATAATCGCGCTAATTTCTTGCCAATTGTAACACACACTGTAATCGTTATGAGCTTGTACTGACAGGAAGATGAAACGTTTCTCCGTCTTCAGATATGCAAAAAGGACATTCAAACTTATTATAACTTAGATATTAAGCGACAATAAAATATAAGCGTTTATCTGGCCTATTTTACAATATATTCCAAAGTCCCAACATCAACACTGCTCTCTTACTATGTAGTGTTTTTTTATAGATTGATAAAACATATAACACATAAACATATACATACACTCGTGTAAATGTATCTTATATTGTGGTTAGGAACCCACACTGAATCTCGAAGCTCCATTCATTGCAAGACAATATAATACGGGCGGAACTTTAGTAAATGATCTAACGACGTTATCTATATGATTGAACAAGTAAGATAAAATGTTTCACAACACTTAGAATTGCACTGCACCAGAAGGTGGGTCAAACTGCTCGTACAGATAAGAAAGTTGACACAGGTCGACCACAGCACTGCAGGAACAGCCTGATATGGCTACTATTACTGCCTCGCGAGTTAAAGGTATGTGGCTGGAGCTCTCAAGTACTGTGCTCGGTTTTGATGTGTGTTTTTTTCCTTAGGGATCAACTATTTGATATTCGGGGGGGGGGGGGGGGGAGGGGTGGGGATGAGGCAGGTGCTAGGATTTTGTATGGAGACAACAAATGTTTTCAGCTGCAGCCTCCACGCAATCACCATGTAGCAATGTCTTTTTTGTGGCAGACAATCTATTTTTGTCAACAGTCTGAAGCATAAATATGTTTGCAAGCATTTTCTGGGACAAATTTCATTTCCTCTTGAAACAATCACTGCCCATGAATCAGCATCGTATTAAACAATATTCCAGCCAGGACAGGGGACAACGAGAATAATTTGCACTTATCTTGTACACCTATATAGAATTAACAAATTTGTCTTTACAGCCATAATATATTGTCTTATACTAAAGGGGGACGCCAAGAATAGGTCCTACCCATTGAAATCGTGATTGAAAACTGCGGCGTAATACAACACTCACTCATATTAATATAATTCTGCAATATGAGAGTTTTGAGTTAGATTGTGAAGAATATGATCAAAACCATTCTCAAAAGACACATCACTCTGCCTATATGTTAAATTATACGGAAACAAGATGATGTCACGGATTTCCAAACAGCTGTGTCATGTAAATATGTCTTCGGTTGTTTGTATCCCGTATTCGTAACATTTCACACGAAGCGACACTTACTCACATGCAACCATTAACTGGTACTCTGCCCATGTCTTGGAAGGCCACCGATAAGTACAGCTAGGCTGTTTCTTATCGGATACATGCAAAAGGGGTTACAAGGATCATGGTATTTTGGGAGCTACATTTGATGCATGGAATCACCACTGTGTGTGTACAGACCACACTGTCTGCATATGGATGTGATTGTGACAACTTTTCATTGCCCCTCATACTTAGAAATATATGACAGATGAATGGCGAATGCATACTATAAAATCCAACCTCGTCAAGTCGAACTCCAGAACTCTGATAACCCCAGACACTTTTAGTGGTCCCATGAATTCCCCGAGCGAGACTTCATTCCAATGTCCTATGTTCTGTCGCTCTTGTGTTGCAGATATACTCTATAAACCATGAACTTCATATTGCTGGTCGCAGTGCTATACTTCATACACGAAGGTAGGTTAAATCGTCACCTCGAGTCCACTAATATGCAACAAAACTAACTAACTGAACCAAGTGGTGATTTGTCAAATGATTCGTAGTTGACTAACACTGTATATTCTGTAGAAATTGATGACCCCTACTGTATGTTGTGTAGACACTGATGACGACCACTGTATGTACTGTAGACACTGATGACGACCACTGTATGTACTGTAGACACTGATGACGACCACTGTATGTACTGTAGACACTGATGACGACCACTGTATGTACTGTAGACACTGATGACGACCACTGTATGTACTGTAGACACTGATGACGACCACTGTATGTACTGTAGACACTGATGACGACCACTGTATGTACTGTAGACACTGATGACGACCACTGTATGTACTGTAGACACTGATGACGACCACTGTATGTACTGTAGACACTGATGACGACCACTGTATGTACTGTAGACACTGATGACGACCACTGTATGTACTGTAGATACTGATGACGACCACTGTATGGACTGTAGACACTGATGACGACCACTGTATATACTGTAGACACTGATGACGACCACTGTATGTACTGTAGACACTGATGACCTCCACTGTATATACTGTAGACACTGATGACCTCCACTGTATATACTGTAGACACTGATGACCTCCACTGTATATACTGTAGACACTGATGACCTCCACTGTATATACTGTAGACACTGATGACCTCCACTGTATATACTGTAGACACTGATGACCTCCACTGTATATACTGTAGACACTGATGACCTCCACTGTATATACTGTAGACACTGATGACCTCCACTGTATATACTGTAGTCACTGATGACCTCCACTGTATATACTGTAGTCACTGATGACCTCCACTGTATATACTGTAGACACTGATGACCTCCACTGTATATACTGTAGACACTGATGACCTCCACTGTATATACTGTAGACACTGATGACCTCCACTGTATATACTGTAGACACTGATGACCTCCACTGTATATACTGTAGACACTGATCACCTCCACTGAATATACTGTAGACACTGATGACCTCCACTGCATATACTGTAGACACTGATCACCTCAACTGAATATACTGTAGACACTGATGACCTCCACTGTATATACTGTAGACACTGATCACCTCCACTGTATATACTGTTGACACTGATGACCTCCACTGTATATACTGTAGACACTGATGACCTCCACTGTATATACTGTAGATACTGATGGCATCCACTGTATATACTGTAGACACTGATGACATCCACTGTATATACTGTAGACACTGATCACCTCCACTGTATATACTGTAGATACTGATGACCTCCACTGTATATACTGTAGACACTGTTGACCTCCACTGTATATACTGTAGACACTGATCACATCCACTGTATATACTGTAGATACTGATAACCTCCACTGTATATACTGTAGACACTGATGTCCTCCACTGTATATACTGTAAACACTGATGACCTCCACAGTATGAACTGTAGATACTGATGACCTCCACTGTATATACTGTAGACACCGTTGAACTCCACTGTATATACTATAGACACTGATGACCTCCACTGTATATACTGTAGACACCGTTGACCTCCACAGTATGTACTGTAGACACTGATGACCTCCACTGTATATACTGTAGACACTGATGACGACCACTGTATGGACTGTAGACACTGATGACGACCACTGTATATACTGTAGACACTGATGACGACCACTGTATGTACTGTAGACACTGATGACCTCCACTGTATATACTGTAGACACTGATGACCTCCACTGTATATACTGTAGACACTGATGACCTCCACTGTATATACTGTAGACACTGATGACCTCCACTGTATGTACTGTAGACACTGATGATGACCACTGTATGTACTGTAGACACTGATGACGACCACTGTATGTACTGTAGACACTGATGACGACCACTGTATGTACTGTAGACACTGATGACGACCACTGTATGTACTGTAGATACTGATGACGACCACTGTATGGACTGTAGACACTGATGACGACCACTGTATATACTGTAGACACTGATGACGACCACTGTATGTACTGTAGACACTGATGACCTCCACTGTATATACTGTAGACACTGATGACCTCCACTGTATATACTGTAGACACTGATGACCTCCACTGTATATACTGTAGACACTGATGACCTCCACTGTATATACTGTAGACACTGATGACCTCCACTGTATATACTGTAGACACTGATGACCTCCACTGTATATACTGTAGACACTGATGACCTCCACTGTATATACTGTAGACACTGATGACCTCCACTGTATATACTGTAGTCACTGATGACCTCCACTGTATATACTGTAGTCACTGATGACCTCCACTGTATATACTGTAGACACTGATGACCTCCACTGTATATACTGTAGACACTGATGACCTCCACTGTATATACTGTAGACACTGATGACCTCCACTGTATATACTGTAGACACTGATGACCTCCACTGTATATACTGTAGACACTGATCACCTCCACTGAATATACTGTAGACACTGATGACCTCCACTGCATATACTGTAGACACTGATCACCTCAACTGAATATACTGTAGACACTGATGACCTCCACTGTATAAACTGTAGACACTGATCACCTCCACTGTATATACTGTTGACACTGATGACCTCCACTGTATATACTGTAGACACTGATGACCTCCACTGTATATACTGTAGATACTGATGGCATCCACTGTATATACTGTAGACACTGATGACATCCACTGTATATACTGTAGACACTGATCACCTCCACTGTATATACTGTAGATACTGATGACCTCCACTGTATATACTGTAGACACTGTTGACCTCCACTGTATATACTGTAGACACTGATCACATCCACTGTATATACTGTAGATACTGATAACCTCCACTGTATATACTGTAGACACTGATGTCCTCCACTGTATATACTGTAAACACTGATGACCTCCACAGTATGAACTGTAGATACTGATGACCTCCACTGTATATACTGTAGACACCGTTGAACTCCACTGTATATACTATAGACACTGATGACCTCCACTGTATATACTGTAGACACCGTTGACCTCCACAGTATGTACTGTAGACACTGATGACCTCCACTGTATATACTGTAGACACTGATCACCTCCACTGTATTTACTGTAGACACTGTTGACCTCCACTGTATATACTGTAGACACTGATCACATCCACTGTATATACTGTAGATACTGGTAACCTCCACTGTATATACTATAGACACTGATGTCCTCCACTGTATATACTGTAGACACTGATGACCTCCACTGTATATACTGTAGATACTGATGACCTCCACTGTCTATACTGTAAACACTGATGACCTCCACTGTATATACTGTAGATACTGATAACCTCCACTGTATATACTATAGACACTGATGTCCTCCACTGTATATACTGTAGACACTGATGACATCCACTGTATATACTGTAGACACTGATCACCTCCACTGTATATACTGTAGATACTGATGACCTCCACTGTATATACTGTAGACACTGTTGACCTCCACTGTATATACTGTAGACACTGATCACATCCACTGTATATACTGTAGATACTGATAACCTCCACTGTATATACTGTAGACACTGATGTCCTCCACTGTATATACTGTAAACACTGATGACCTCCACAGTATGAACTGTAGATACTGATGACCTCCACTGTATATACTGTAGACACCGTTGAACTCCACTGTATATACTATAGACACTGATGACCTCCACTGTATATACTGTAGACACCGTTGACCTCCACAGTATGTACTGTAGACACTGATGACCTCCACTGTATATACTGTAGACACTGATCACCTCCACTGTATTTACTGTAGACACTGTTGACCTCCACTGTATATACTGTAGACACTGATCACATCCACTGTATATACTGTAGATACTGGTAACCTCCACTGTATATACTATAGACACTGATGTCCTCCACTGTATATACTGTAGACACTGATGACCTCCACTGTATATACTGTAGATACTGATGACCTCCACTGTCTATACTGTAAACACTGATGACCTCCACTGTATATACTGTAGATACTGATAACCTCCACTGTATATACTATAGACACTGATGTCCTCCACTGTATATACTGTAGACACTGATGACCTCCACTGTATATACTGTAGATACTGATGACCTCCACTGTATATACTGTAAACACTGATGACTTCCACTGTATATACTGTAGACACTGATGACCTACATTGTATATACTGTAGAACTGATGACCTCCACTGTATATACTGTAGATACTGATGACCTCCACTGTATATACTGTAGACACCAATGAACTCCACTGTATATACTATAGACACTGATGACCTCCACTGTATATACTGTAGACACCGTTGACCTCCACAGTATGTACTGTAGACACTGATGACCTCCACTGTATATACTGTAGACACTGATGACCTCCACTGTATATACTGTAGACACTGATGACCCCCACTGTATATACTGTAGACACTGATCACCTCCACTGTATATACTATAGACACTGATGACCTCCACTGTATATACTGTAAACCTGATCACCCCCGCTTTATATACTATAGACACTGATGACCTCCAATGTATATACTGTGGACAATGATGACCCCCACTGTATATACTGTAGACACTGATCACCTCCACTGTATATACTGTAGACACTGTTCACCTCCACTGTATATACTGTAGACACTGATCACCTCCACTGTATATACTATAGACACTGATGACATCCACTGTATATACTGTAGTCACTGATGTCCTCCATTGTATATACTGTAGACACTGATGACCCCCACTGTATATACTGTAGACACTGATGACCTCCACTGTATATACTGTAGACACTGATGACATCCACTGTATATACTGTAGACACTGATCACCTCCACTGTATAT